CTAAGTTTCGTAGCAAAGTAAGAAAACAAAGTTCCCAAAGGTAATTTATTGGGTCGCTCAGAAGTTTCGCATCAAAAAGGCTTGGGAAATTTAACAAACGACGTTGCCTTTCAAGAAAAAAAATGTTGAGCATTATATTTTATTTGCATAAAACGATTTTAATTATTTTTTTAGGGAGTTCGAAAATGAAACATACTCTATATAGATTTTCTGCACAAGTTACGTAGATACTTGTCACAGACGTTATTGCAAAAATGTAGTTTTAACATCAAACGTCGCCTCTGTTGCATTTCAATTTTCTTTATAATTATGTAATATACTTGTTTTCTGCGGTTTCGTGTGTGTAAATTTGACTTTGTTCTCTATATTATTGGAGAAAAATATTTAACTCGATAGTTTGCAGTACTTGTCAAAAAATATATAAATTTCATTTTTAAAAATTATTAATGTATATAAGGAACTTCACATAATAATTATTCAGATTTTTTTTTGATGTTGAAAAGTTAAATTATTTAAAAATAAAAAAATCATTTATCTAAAAATATTTTTTAGGTTAATTTAATTTTATTTTGAAATAAATATTATTTTATTTGTTGTTTAAAATCACGTGTTTTTTTTCTTAACACAATATACAAAGGAATTTAGTATTTAATCCTCTCTAAAGTAAGTTTAAAAACATATAGCCATTCTATCAACGCAAAAATAATGCAATATCCTCGAAAAAAATTTGCGGTGAAACCGCAATTTTGTTTCACAAACAAAAGATAAACCGGGGAAAGCGTTAAGATCAAATTTACATTCCCCTTGGATACTTTTAATGTTTCCATTATAAAAAAAAAATCCTTACGATAATTGCCTTATCCGCTGATATAATCGGTTAAACGGTTTCCGATACAGTGATATCTGAATTACAAATAAATGGGAAATTTTATGATATGGAATTCAATTTTTTTATATCCCTAACTAGGGTCTCAAAAAACCTGAAAGTAAGTTTTATTTTATCAAACTATACAATGCTCTTGGTCACAGTTGGCTTTTACAGCTTCACCGAACAATAGCGCAGATGGACTTATGAAGCGGTTGAAGGCCAACTCCTGTCTAACAAATAAGACTTTAGTCTGAGGGCACCGCTAGCCTAAATAACGCGTATTGTAAACGGTCAATATTATTGGCTGTCTACATCTGAGGGCACCGCTAGCCTAAATAACGCGTATTGTAAACGGTCAATATTATTGGCTGTCTACATCTGAGGGCACCGCTAGCCTAAATAACGCGTATTGTAAACTGTCAATATTATTGGCTGTCTACAATACCTTCTTTTACCTTTAAACACGATGCTTGATAAGGTAGGCAAATTCATAAGGTATTGTCAACAGCCAATATTGTGGCAAATCCGATACTTGACATTTCCTCATTTAGCCAAGATTATTTATTTCCAACTTGAGCTCCTGCCCCTTACTACTAACGTCTTATGGATTAATTTGGTTTTCTATCGATTTTTTTTCTGTAAACAGAGAGTTGGACAGATATTTAAATTAACACATATTTTTTTGTTCACAGAGAAGTAAATATGTATTAACTTTGCAATCTTCAGCAATATGTTATGGTAGTAGTCAGTAGACTAAGGCTAAATAGTAATCTATACTTAGAACTATACTTAAAATTATGTATACTTGGTGTACGGTGTGAATTATATGGAGATGACTGTACACGAAGCAAACCAAATATAATCTTATAAGCGTGAAAATTTACAAAAACTGATAGATATATATCACTATTGCACGCTAACATTATTAAACGGACTGTAATAAAATTTGATATTTAGATAGGTATATAATTTTCTATATTTCTAGATATCAAATGAAACACTTATTGCGGCCAATATAAATAATTAATAATTTATTTAATTCTACTCACAAATATGGATGTAGAAACAACTAGATGTAATATTTTTTAATACAATGCATAAAGTTACTATTACAACCAATATGATATGAGGAACTGGTGTCTAAAATAGCTATAATCTGTAATACAGATCACCAGGCCCCCAACCGAATGTATAAGTGTTGTAAATGAAGTAAATTACGAAGATTATAGTACAATAAACAACACATAAAATCAATCGTATAGCAAAATACACAGGATGCGACTAGTAGGTAAGTAATATTAAGTAAATTAAAATAACCTAATTTACTACAAGTAAATTTGTACTTAAACACAACGTTTAACAATACCTGGAAGTAAATAAATTTTCCCAACAATGTAAATATTTCATCTCATAAATATACATTAATTTCATGAATAATTTATTGCGATAAATATTTACACGTTTAATCAAATTTTGTTGCCACACGCCTCAACTGTTAATTATGATCATAGTTTATTGTTACGAAATTCCTTCATGATATTGTATTGTTCAAAATATTCGTTGAAAAGTTTTTAATCAAAGTGTAAAAGATGTTATTCACTAATATTTCCTTTTGATTGAACTGGAATAGTATTTCTGTCTCATCTATTCTGACGCAAAGCAGCTTTGTAAGGTCAAGCAGTAATCACACTCCTTATCCCTTCAAATCTTGAAATTACAGGATATGGAAGCATGACTTCTTAATTCTATGGAATGGCAACGAATGAGTGGTTTTTAATGACTTTTAATGGGACGGAGCATCCGCCTGGGTTGACGCTGTACACTGGCGAGTCACCAGTGGACGATGATGGGATGAGCAAGAGGTAAGTTAGCAAATCGTGATGAAATTATTTCATAAAACAAGCTTAGTTTGATGCTAAATTGCATTGTGTGGATTGTCCAGGGTTACTAATATTTATATATTAATATTATTTACAAAGCGAGTATACGGTTCATATTAGTTATGTAAAAGAATATAAACCACAAAATAATAGAAACAATTTATCAATAACTACGCAATTGAACAAGAAGAAAGTGTTCCTTGCAAAACGCCATCTCATTCTGTTATTTGTAATCTACATAATTCGACCCTTAGCAAGTTGGGGGTGGCATCGAAATTGAAAGATTCCCCTTTTTAATAAGACGAAAAATTGTTAAGACTTCGTAGAGATTTCTACCTTCGACTCCATTATTGAAATATAGAAGGCATTCAAGAATGAGACGAAAATATACTTTTAATACCCACTCAATTATTATAACTTTTCAAGTTTTGATACGGCGTTTTGAAAGATTAATATTCATTGTTTTTGATAAAAAAATGACAACAATTCTTATAATAAATTGACTGAAACTTAAATAAATCATGTAAAAGTTTAGTTTTTTTTTGTTCCACATAATAAATAAAATTTCTCTTATGATTTAGAATAAGAAGTATTGAAGTCTAGGCAATAAAACTCAAATCTAATTACATCTAAATCTCTATTGTATTTATCCGTGATTATAAGTTCATAAAACAGGGTTCTATTGATATAAGCAATACTTTTAAGATATAATCAAATTAATTACTACGGTATTTTAAAAATGCAGAAAGAGTAACATTCCTCACTTCTAGTCTCCTCACTACTAGAAGACTATTTGACACGTCCGTCGTTGGTTAGTAATTTAGTTAAAATAAATAAAATTTTATAGGAGATATTGGGATTATCGACAATTCTCATAGCACGTCTCTCAAAAGGACGGAGCTGGTGGATACCAGCTCGGTCCAGGTGCTCCTGACCAAAGATGAGAGCAGTACTCCATGTGCGGCCGAACTTGAGACTTATATAAGAGGAGTCTCTGGTCTGCAATGAAGTACCGCCTCGCTCTATTAAGCACACCGGCTATTTACATGCAGTAGAACTTATCTTGATTAAAAATGTGTGTGATACTGTTTTTATTAATCAATATAAGTATAACCACATAATATGTTACCAGATGTAAGTTATAATTAGCGTTTTAATTTATTTTTAGATGCAACTTCGACGCTGTCACTTAATCCCCGTTTTTGCTGTCTTTTTCATTTGTTGTTTATATAACAACAGCAGCCTATTCCTTGATAACTAATCCAACACTTTTTCACAATCAGATCAGTAGTATCGGAGATAAATCTGAATTAGAGCTAGAAACAGAAATAATCTTCATTCAAATAATAATTTAATACAATCACTTTTGAATAGTAATTTTTTCTTCTACTATTTAATCGGAACGCAGACTCATCACAAGAAGAATGAGCAAGGAACTTGCTGTTGTGTTACTCTTTTAAATAAATGTTGTTAACAATTACATTTTAAGGATTGTGTGTGAATACAAACTGCCAAATAGCAAAGTTGACATAAAAAAATAAATAGTTATTTTAGTACTGGCGGCGCGGGTGAAATAAATATTGTTTGATTTTGATTTAAGTGGACTGTATCTAAATAATCTGACGGGTACGTGGATTGACACGATACACTGTTAGGTTGGTGATTGAGAACTGCTTGTGAGGATGGAACACAAAGAAAGACAGTTCTGGTAAGGAAGGAGGCACAGTACCTTTGAATTGTAGGTTGCAGTGCGGCGGCTATCGGTGTCTCCAGGTCCCAGCTACTTGCTTCACAACAATGGCACAAACACAATGGTCTTAAACACACTAGAGCGATGCGGTGGATTAAAATGTTTAGTAATTATCACGAATTACAAAAAACTTGATCTTAAGCGCGATCAAGGCGGGAATTCAATGTCAACTTCAGCGTTCAATTTTACAGTGACGCGCGAGCGCGATATGTCACTTTCGATACAAGCGAATCTTCTCGCTCGCACTTAAAACAAAGGTATGTGCGGGAATAGGAGAGGATAAAGGAATTAGTGTAGTGCCAATCCTTAGAAAATTAACGTTTCGTACCACGCTAAATTATTTATTTGAACAAACTATTACTAATAATAATTATACAATGATAAACAAAAATGTAATGTTATATGGCGCAACCATTCCCCCCGCCTTGAAGGGACGCCTTCAAAGTAAAAATAGAAACTTAAAATAAACTAAACCTTAACCTAGAACTCGTATTAACTAAAACTAATGTCTAGGTAAGGGGCACAGACGTACAACCGGGCGCAAATAGGAGCCGGTTGCAGTTTTTACACGAACAACCCGAATTACGCCGTCAGAAGCCGGAAAGACCTCTTCAATAACCCCTAAAGGCCAATGAAGTGGTGGCGCGTTTTCAGTACGTACAATTACAACAGTTCCGACAGTCATCTGATTGACGGGCGTATTCCATTTTTCGCGAGATTGTAATGTGTGCAGGTACTCCGCTCTCCATCGCTTCCAGAACGTTTGCACTAATCTGTCTAATAATGCGTGGCGTGAAATCAAAGAACTGTCAGCTATTTCTGCGGCGGGCAAATATTTCAACGGAGTAAAATTTAAAAAATGTGCGGGTGTTAGTGCAAGCGGCTCTGACGGATCATTAGATAAAGTCCGACATAATGGTCGAGTATTCATGATTGCCTCTACTTGCGTGAGTACCGTAATCATTTCCTCAAATGATAAAACTTGAACCCCAACGACCCTGAACAAATGCGTTTTCAAACTTTTTATATTAGTCTCCCAGTTACCTCCGAAGTGACTAGCAGCGGGAGTGTTGAGAAACCAAGTCAGGCGGTTTTCTGACAAGACGTGCGCAAATTCGGTGTTAAAATGTTTAGAGCTCAAAAATGCGTGAAGTTCCGAAAGCGTGCGTTTTGCTCCAATATAATTAGTGCCATTATCGGAGTAGATATGAGCTACAGGACCACGACGAGATAAAAACCGTTTAAGAGCTGACATGAAACTTGCTGTACTTAAATCTCCTGCCAATTCTATATGGACGGCGCGGGTTGTTAAACAAACGAATAAACAAATATAAGCTTTAGTAGACCGTATGCCACGACCACGTGTTATAGTTATTTTGAAAGGACCAGCATAATCGGTACCTGTGTGCATGAATGGTTTTAATGTTTCAAGAACACGACAGGGTTTGTGATCTGACATTTCTGGAAATGTCGATTTCGGACGAAGTTTAAAACAAGGTACACATTTGTGCACTCTGTGGCGAATCAAGTTGCGGGCAGATAAAATCCAATATTTCTGCCTTAAAATAGACATCAGTAAATCAGGACCAGCATGACAATTAACTTTATGGTGATAGTCTACTAATAAATCCAATATATGATGTTTCCGGGGAAGAACAATAGGGTGTTTCTGATCAAAATTCAAGTTCGAATTTCTCAAACGACCACCGACTCTAATTATACCTTCTAGAATGAAGGGTTTGAGTCGCTGAAGTGATCGGGAACAAAATTTTCCATTTTGTAAATTGTTAATTTCCCCATGAAAATACAAAGCCTGTAATTCTCGAAGGATTACAAGTTCTGCGTAATCTAAATCTGCTGCGGTTATGAATTTTAGCGGGGTTAATAATTTTGCGAAACGACAGACATAAACTACGCAGCGAAGAAGCTTGGACCAAGAAGAAAAGCGATTTGCCAGAGCGATGAAAACCGATTCTTCTGGCGGTGTACGAGTAACAAAGGAGAGTTTCTTCTCCTCAGGCGGGTCCATAACAGCAGAAGGATTGAAAGTGGTGACTGGCCATTCCGAAAAGGTGGATTTAGCCCACTGCGGGCCGTTGAACCATAGGGGGTGGTGAATTATTTGGGCAGGAGTAAGCCCTCGCGATAGACAGTCGGCTGGATTGTCCGAACCAGACACGTGATAAAAATTGTGCGGTGAAAGCAGAGATTGAATTTTAGAAACTCTATTCGCGACAAAAGTATCCCACCTGTGGGGCGATGCGTGGATCCAACATAAAGCAACTGTTGAATCAGAAAATGCGTGTATTGCCTTAATTGGATAGCGGTTGTTAACAGCGGTAACAATATTATTAATTAAATTAGCGAGCAAAAGCGCTGCGCAAAGTTCGAGTCGGGCCAACGACACGACCTTGCGGGGTGCAACCTTAGATTTTGCACTTATAAGATGCACAGTACTCACACCATCATTCTCGACGTGGAAGTACACAACAGCACCATAAGCCTTTTCACTAGCGTCTGCGAAGCCAATGATGTTCACCACACTACGTTTTGTGATGTCAACATGGCGCTGTAATTTAATTTGATCTAGACTGGGGAGCTCATCCCTGAAACGTGACCATTGTCTGACGATAACTTCCGGGGGGGCGTCGTCCCAATCGCAGTTGCATAACCATAACTCTTTGACAAGAAGTTTGGCAAATAATATAACGGGTGCTACGAAACCCATTACATCCCACAATCTTGCGACACAAGATAAAATGGTGCGTTTTGTACACTTTTCAGCGGGCGTGCAAATTTTTAAACTAAATAAATCTGAGCTAGGAGACCAGCACAGACCCAGAATTTTATGCGTATCAGACACATCGAATTCTACGACCGACGAAAGTCGATGTGTTGACGGAATGGAATTTAAAACTACTTGCGAATTGCTCGTCCATTTGACAAGATCAAATTGTCCGGCCTTCATGAGTGAGATGATCTCAGCAGCTGTGACGATAGCCTCATCTTCACTATCTAGACAATATACTAAATCATCCATGTACAGACCGGTGTGAACCGCTTCCTTAGCTTTTGGGAACGATTCGCCTTCGTCGGTGGCTAACTGCTTAATAGTACGCAGTGCAAGAAACGGACTCGATTTGAGTCCAAAACAAACGCGATTAAACTGATAAACCTGGAGAGGTTCGTCAGGCGAAAATCTATACAATATGCGTTGAAATCTGCGGTCACTCTCTCTAATACGAATGCAAAGAAACATTTGCCTAATATCGGCAGAGAGAGCTACTGAAAATAATCTGAAGTTAACTATAATATCAAATAAATTGCGTTGTAAATTCTGTCCATTATAAAGAAGATCGTTGAGAGATACGGACGTGCTAGTTTTAGCGCTAGCATTGAGTACGACGCGCAATTTAGACGTGAGTTTATCCTTTCGAATAACTCCATGGTGCGGTATTATATACGAAGGAGCATTACTATCATCATTAACGGGTGCGGGTGAAATATAACTCTTATCTAAATACTCCGTAATGACGTCATCATAGGCTTGCTTGAGTTCAGGCGAAGCCTGCATTTTGCGTTCGAGACAAAAGAAACATTTCTCGGCTAATCGACGCGAGTCGCCAAGAGAATGTGCATTACCCTTGAAGGGAAGCGCGACGGTATAACGACCGTCGTCCTCGCGAGTGGTAGTGCCAGCATAAATAGCTTCACACTCCTTGTCGTCCGGGCTGAGAATCGGTGCAACATTCACCTCTTCCATTTCCCAGAATCTACATAGAACGGATTCCATCGTGGGTTCGGTAACACAACAATGCGCGGTGGTAGTGTAATTACAATTATCTAACATATTAGACACGGAAGTATCGGTATTTGATCTAGCGGGAGCTGAACCTACAATAACAAAGCCTAATACGGTCTCAATAGCATACGGCGAGACGTATGCGGGTTGACCTTTAACCTTACGGGACAATATTAAATGCGGGAAAATTGAGGCACCGATTAACATGTCAATGTTCCCAGGAGTAGCGTAACTATCATCGGCTAAAGGCAAATTTTTAAAATTTGAAAATAATGAAATATCGACACTAACAGTCGGTAACCGTTCGGTTATTTTATCTACAACTAAGGATTCCATATCAAATTTAATATTACGATTAAACCGTGAAAAGAATTTTATATGTACAGAACCCTGTGTGGCCTTTGTTGTCCCTCCTATACCTTTAATCGAAAAGGTTGTATTCTGTATACATTGCAATCCCAAGCGATTACAACAATCCCTAGTTACAAAATTACTTTGAGAAGCACTGTCCAATAATGCTCTAATATAATGTTCGTTACCGTCTCTATCGATCATTAAAACACGAGCGGTGGCTAACAATACTGTAGTAGGTACGCGAGGCATATTTTTATTAACATTGTCTGATAACGTGCATAATGCTACGTCTTCCGATGCGCGGGATACGGCGGGTGTCGGCGGGGGTGAGTGCGGGGCGCGGTCCGTGCAAGGAGCCGGTCGGCCGCCGCCGCCGCCACCAACAGCGGGCTGCGTGTGCGACGAGTGCGACGATAGAGGTCCTGTGAACTTGGCACACGATATTCAAAAATCGACTTTTTTTTTTAGAGTTCTGACATCCTTTTGAATAGTTCTAGAGTTCTTTATAATCATTTTAAATAGTTCCGATGTTTAAATTAAAAAAAAACAAATTTTAAAAAATCGTGCGCTAAGTTCACGCAGCGCACGAAATCACGAAAATCACAAATTTCTTCGGAGTTCTAGCTTGCTTTACAATAGTTCTACAGTTCTCTATCAGTTATATCAATAGTTCTAGCGATTAAAACGAAAAAATCGATTTTTGAAGTTTCGCCGCGTCCAAATTATAATTCATATAAGAAAAGATCAATTTCCGACGCGAGTTCTAGCCGATCTGATAATAGTTCTGGGCAGCATTCTCCGAGTTCTACAGAAAAGCTTCATAACATTTTCCTGGAAAATAATTATTTTGCAAGTTATTGCAAAAAATATAAATCTACAAAAAAAAAAATTACGAGTTCCAGCTGATCTGATCGGAGTTCTGGGTAGCGCTACCTGAGTTCTATCGAAAAGTCTAGTAACTTTTTCCTGTGAAATAATTATTTTCCAAATTATCGCCATTTTTAACTTTTCATGACTGACTTATAGGAGAATTTTTTTTACGAGTTCTAGTCGATCTGATCGGAGTTCTGGGTAGCGCTATCTGAGTTCTATCGAAAAGTCTACTAACTTTTTCCTGTGAAATAATTATTTTCCAAATTATCGCCATTTTTAACTTTTCATGACTGACTTCAAGGAGAATTTTTTTTACGAGTTCTAGTCGATCTGATCGGAGTTCTGGGTAGCGCTACCTGAGTTCTATCGAAAAGTCTAGTAACTTTTTTCTGTGAAATAATTATTTTCCATATTATCGTCATTTTTAACTTTTCAAGGCTGACTTATAGACTTTTTTTTTACGAGTTCTAGCCGATCTGATCGGAGTTCTGGGTAGCGCTACCTGAGTTCTATCGAAAAGTCTAGTAACTTTTTCCTGTAAAATAATTATTTTCCAAATTATCGCCATTTTTTACTTTTCAAGACTGACTTGTAGGAGAATTTTTCTTTTGACGAGTTCTAGCCGATCTGATCGGAGTTCTGGGTAGCGCTACCTGAGTTCTATCGAAAAGTCTAGTAACTTTTTCCTGTGAAATAATTATTTTCCAAATTATCGCAATATTCCAAATATCTTGAAAAGTAAAAAATGGCGATAATTTGGAAAATAATTATTTCACAGGAAAAAGTTACTAGACTTTTCGATAGAACTCAGGTAGCGCTACCCAGAACTCCGATCAGATCGACTAGAACTCGTAAAAAAATTCTCCTTGAAGTTAGTCATGAAAAGTTAAAAATGGCGATAATTTGGAAAATAATTATGTCACAGGAAAAAGTTACTAGAGTTTTCGATAGAACTCAGGTAGCGCTACCCAGAACTCCGATCAGATCAGCTAGAACTCGTAAAAAAAAAATCTCCTATAAGTCAGCCTTAAAAAGTTAAAAATGGCGATAATTTGGAAAATAATGATATTACAGGAAAAAGTTACTAGACTTTTCGATAGAACTCAGGTAGCGCTACCCAGAACTCCGATGAGATCGACTAGAACTCGTAAAAAAATTCTCCTATAAGTCAGTCATGAAAAGTTAAAAATGGCGATAATTTGGAAAATAATTATTTCACAGGAAAAAGTTACTAGACTTTTCGATAGAACTCAGGTAGCGCTACCCAGAACTCCGATCAGATCAGCTGGAACTCGTAATTTTTTTTTTTGTAGATTTATATTTTTTGCAATAACTTGCAAAATAATTATTTTCCAGGAAAAAGTTATGAAGCTTTTCTGTAGAACTCGGAGAATGCTGCCCAGAACTATTATCAGATCGGCTAGAACTCGCGTCGGAAATTGATCTTTTCTTATATGAATTATAATTTGGACGCGGCGAAACTTCAAAAATCGATTTTTTCGTTTTAATCGCTAGAACTATTGATATAACTGATAGAGAACTGTAGAACTATTGTAAAGCAAGCTAGAACTCCGAAGAAATTTGTGATTTTCGTGATTTCGTGCGATGCGTGAACTTAGCGCACGGATTTTTAAAATTTGTTTTTTTTTTTTTTAATTTAAACATCGGATTTAAAATGGTTATAAAGAACTCAAGAACTATTCAAAAGGATGTCAGAACTCTAAAAAAAAAAGTCGATTTTTGAATATCGTGTGCCAAGTTCACAGGAGTGACGATAGATCCACTACGCACGTAGTCGCTGTGACCGAACTACCACTGAGTATGTTCGCGGTGGAGGTGGCATTACTATGCTCAAAGTGGAGCATAGTATGATGTTTTGAGTCACATTTGTGACATCGACTATTTGAGTTACAATTAAATACACGGTGATTTTTACTTAGACAATTAATACAGTAGGAATTAGATTTAACAAATCGGAAACGATCATTAGGCGTTAAATTTCGAAAACCTGGACATTTATATAAATGTTCATGTTTTATGTTACACAATGAGCACTTAGGCTGCGGATTAGCGGTTGTAGTATAAGAGTATGTAGATTTATGTTGCATAACTTTCGATGCCGCATCCATACGACGATCGACAACTTTCTTAGTAACTTCTTGGTTGCTTGAAGAAGTGCGTTGCAATATTTTAATGTGATCGCGCACAAATGACACTAATGTATCGAAAGATGGGATGTCGGATCCCCGTTTATCTAGTTCGAAAGCGCGGGCGGTTTCGGAATCTAATTTCTTTAACGCGGTATACAAAAATATAAAATCCGAAAGATTATTAATTTTTAAGTTATTTAACGCGGATACTGAAGTTGCGAATTTATCGAGAAATTGTTCTAAATTATTTATATTTGATGAATGAAAGGGCTTCATTTCGAATATTTGATCTAGGTATGATGATGCGAGCAGTCTCTTATCTTCATACTTACTAATTAAAGCATCTAAAATGACCTTATAATTTTCAGAACAAGGGTTTATACCGGCAAATACAGAACGAGCTTTACCTGTCAGTTTACCCATCAAATAATGTAATTTTTCCGAATCTGACAATCTAGGATTGTCATGAACTATGCTTTTGTAAGCTGTATAGAATAAAGACCAGGATCTCAGATCTCCTGAGTATTCCGGAATTGGTATGGGGGGCAGACGAGGCCTGTCCTCATCCCTATTATGCTGATGATGTTTGACATCAGGCGGTACCTCTAGCGATCTTGCGGCTCGTTTTATACGGCAATACAAATCATCAAATGCCATGAGCGGTTGATAATTAATAACATATTTAGGATTCAATTTAGATTCTAAAGTATTTATTTTATCTAACATAGTTTCGAAATCCGAGCGTAATTTGTCAACTGTTTCGATCTCACACAAGAATGTTTCTCTTTCATATTCACTAGAAAGATTATGAGTCCTATCTGTAATACTTTGTATGCGAGAAAACATTAAATCCTTTTTAGCGAGTAACAGGGGTAACTGATTGACATCCGACATGATGAACAACCTATAAATACAAAAACTTGTTTGTACTAATAAATATATAAGAAAGCGGTGCGGTGGAGAACAGATAAATACCTACACAAGTTACGTGCGGTGCGGTACGGTACGGTGCGGTGCGGTGCGGTGCGGTGCGGTGCAATGAGAGCCGGCAGTACACAATGTACTTACAATTAAAATACGAAATAATAAACCACAACGTACTCGTGATAAGAATCTGTCAAATATTTATATTAAACAAAGCGATGTCTGTTTATTACAGCGTAAGCAATGTCTTGTTTATTACAGCGAACTAAATTCAAAGTCTATGCCGCTAACCTATTCAATAGTAGACCGGTAGAAAGCGATAATATTAAGCTATAATATCGTATGCGTCTCAGCCTACCCTAAGGGGGCCTGAGGATATCAATATGTAGGTAGATAGACTACCTACAATGGCGCGAAAGTAATTGATAACTACGAATATAAATGCGGTGACTACAAAAATAAAGTTGTTTTACCTATAGTTAGGTTAAAACAATGCGGGAGTATTACAACAAATCGTAAATACCTACTATTACTTACGATGCGAAATTGAGTTGACACGGAATTTGATATGAATCTATCAGGTAGTTGTACCTACATGTACCTACGAGATTCTAGAAACATCGATATAACGAAATAAAGAAAATGATGTAGTAAAATACAAATTAATTGTATGCGTTTGTACGAAATATACCTAGAAATAAAATATCTAGTGTGGTTTAACCAAATAATTACAATATTCGGCTCGAAATGGACCACTAAAATAATGGCGGCGCGGGTGAAATAAATATTGTTTGATTTTGATTTAAGTGGACTGTATCTAAATAATCTGACGGGTACGTGGATTGACACGATACACTGTTAGGTTGGTGATTGAGAACTGCTTGTGAGGATGGAACACAAAGAAAGACAGTTCTGGTAAGGAAGGAGGCACAGTACCTTTGAATTGTAGGTTGCAGTGCGGCGGCTATCGGTGTCTCCAGGTCCCAGCTACTTGCTTCACAACAATGGCACAAACACAATGGTCTTAAACACACTAGAGCGATGCGGTGGATTAAAATGTTTAGTAATTATCACGAATTACAAAAAAACTTGATCTTAAGCGCGATCAAGGCGGGAATTCAATGTCAACTTCAGCGTTCAATTTTACAGTGACGCGCGAGCGCGATATGTCACTTTCGATACAAGCGAATCTTCTCGCTCGCACTTAAAACAAAGGTATGTGCGGGAATAGGAAAGGATGAAGGAATTAGTGTAGTGCCAATCCTTAGAAAATTAACGTTTCGTACCACGCTAAATTATTTATTTGAACAAACTATTACTAATAATAATTATACAATGATAAACAAAAATGTAATGTTATATGGCGCAACCAAGTACTAATAGGTAGTTTACAAAATAAATTAGTCATAGTGATCAGACCAGACCAGTCCCTACGAGCAGCACCCGTTCACAAGTATGACGAATATCCAACTTCACTAACTCTTATAATATTACTATAGATATCTAAAAGATCGCATAATCTAGCGATATGTCGGCAAATTCAAAAATTAAGAGGCTGCAAGGAAAGTACGTGAGGAGCAGATTTTTCATGCAGTCCACTTCTCCACGTCGAGGGCCCTTGAAACCGCCAGGGTGCTCGCCGAGAGTAGTTCATTGTTCTATGGTATAATAGGCGACGCCATTTTGTGTGGCGCTTTATACCACCCCTGGGTAGGGTGACCGTAGTTTACCACTGAAGTAGGACATTGGAGAACATTGGGCATCTGTAGAAATTTAATCATATTTGTAGATTGTAGATAGTATGTTATAATAAATTTACTAAACTGATATTATAAAAATATATGTTTCTTTATGTTTGTAACGGTTAAACACAAAATATTCCTCTTTCGTGCGGTATATAATGTATAATAATAATTAATAGAAAATTTTATGAATTCATATTATTAATATTTCCTACATGGTGTAAATTTTAAAAGGCGTGTGTGAGTTGAAACAAATGCTTGTTAATTATTACAGCTTGATATTTTATTCTTATAAAAAATATTGTACTAAAATAGTGCAGTTCTCATGTACCATAAAATAATTTTGTACAAAAATGTCAAACTATTAATAAAGCTAGTGTAGCTAGCTAGCAAGATGAGATGTAATTAAAAAATTGTTGTTCCGAAAACAAAAAAATACATCATCTTTTGTTGAACTTTTGCTATTTAAATATTAAAAGTTTGAGAATTCATTCAGTCAGGAATATCCTATTATATCAGAATAAGTGGTGAGCCGAGGTTGGTAGGTTTTTGTTTCATAATACAGTTTTTATGAGCTAGTTCCGTCAGATTAACGGTTTATGGACGATGTTTCGGAAGTATAATATTTTGTGCAATACGGTTTTGTTTATAGGGTTAAATTTTTGTACCGAAAATAAACTGAATAACTGGCCAGGAGATAAAAAAATAACAAGAATGGAAAGGAAAAAAACGAACCAAAATAAAGATATCATTCTTTATTCATTGACAGTATTGGTTACGTAGCGGTTGACTGTCTCATTTCTCGGTAGTCACTGGTTTGACTCCCGCACTATTTAAGTTTTTATGAGTATGAAAGGTTATTTTATATGTATTACGTAAGTACATTATGTACCTAAATATATTTAACTGTTTATAGAACAAACTAAAACAATTTTAGAACCTATACATAGTGTAGTGTATGTGGAAACACTAGCAGTTTATTATCTATCGTCTCGAGCCGAGCGTACACGGACCGCCGTGCGCAAGAGGGAAGGGATTCCCTGCGCAAGCGCCGCGGAGTAAAGACGTGGAGCTATGGCTAACGAGCCGATATTACGTCGATAACAACTTACATACAAGAAGACATAAATAACAAATAAGTGAACACTATATGTGGCGACGAGGCAAAATGGATATAAATAAAGATAAGTACAAAATCATTTAATAAGATATACAAATACCTACGGGTACGGAGTAATTACAAATTTAGAAGGATTATGGTGGGGCCGCACGGGGAGCGAATTATGTAGACCTATACAGAAAAAACAATAGCTGGGTAACATCGGTTTACGATCGATTTGCGCCAAGTAAGTAGGTACCTAATTATAAATTGTACTTGCTATACCTATAGTGTCTATAGCTGGTAGGAATAGTCGTATTAATAATCATTGTAGTGATATGTTTACGTATATCCGTGATTTATTATTTTTAATGTGTGATAATTTATTTATTTATTAGCATACAAAACAGATTACAGTCAATATAATAATATAATTAGGAGCGTGTAGTTCGGTACAGAACTGGATTGTAATCCAACACTATGTATGCCTAAGACCTAAATTATATAGACGCATTCAATATACGCTAGACAGCTAGATAAGGTTATATAATAAAAAGTAAACTAAATAGAAAATGATATATAACTACGTAATGCAATGAATTATCATGTTAACAGGATTTTATTTATATTAAAGAAAAGAAAATTGGTACAATGTTAAATATAATTTGTCTCTTTACGGTGGAAATTTAATTGTCTCCGGAACTGGACCAGCGTTGAATGGAAAATATCTATATTTCTATTCGAGACAAGAATTTCATTTCATAATGTTGTACTGCCTGCGCTGACGTGGCACTGATGGAGTATGGTTGAATGAGCGGGGGGGGATAGGATCGGTAGGCCCGTCGTGGTGGGTTCGTGTTAATTTGTCGCGATTGTTTCTGGGGGGAGCCGCGTGGAGGTCCCTCTGGCGTGATACATTGTTAGTAGTGGGATTATTTTAACAATCCCATTCCCCCTTCCGTATTTCCGTGTTGAAATAAAAAATCGGTAATGATTGTAGTTGCGCTGCATGTTCGTTTCATGAGGGGACGGTGACGGTGAGATGTTTAGTGGGACATCATATTATGTGATGCAATAGACCTGTGGGTATGAAGTAAAATAGAGCACTGTGCGGACGACACGTTTGTTTTGCTTTATCTTTTCTAGGTGTCGATGCACTTTAATTACTTTTGGCAATAGGGCCGCCTTATTGTATTTATACAGATGTGGTGACTAGTGTTCAAATGTCACTATTCTCTTTTAGGGTATTGCTGCAAATGGAAGTGGTCTAAAGTTCCTCTTTCTAACTGTAAGGATCACATGATAACCTAATATTACATTTTGTACGGGATAATATTACGATGTTGTCGAGTGATATGATATTATTACAAATGATGGGGAGCTGACAATTGTACCTGCATTATAATACTGATGTTGGGTATTATATACAAAACAACAATAGTAAAATGTAAGGTGGGGTGACACACACGGTTTGAGCAGTGCTTGGTGGACAATATTTATATTTGCCTTAATTGATTGCAAGTGTTGAAGTATCTGGGTAACAGTGTCCCATACATTTCGATGCGGATGAGTTGTTCGGAATACCTGCAGACTATTTTATTCTGGTATTCGAGCAGAGCCGCGAAGTAGTGTGGTTAAAATGTTTTATTTGGATTGGATTTGGCTTTTGGATTATATAATTTATAAATAATAATTATTAGTGAGCATTCCAATGGATGCCGGTGGGAATTGCAATTGTTCTGCATAGGAAGGCTATACATGTTGTGTAGTGCAAGGTGCCTATCTACTTGTCTGGCATATATTTAACAATTTGTGCTTTGTGTTAAAATGAAGCGCGCATCTACACTTGCGACCTAGAAGGCAATCTTTTGGTTTGGTGAATTTAGTGTCTA